GATTTGGAAGGACCCTTTTAAATCAGACCAAACAGGTGGTGGCGGGGGTTGGTTTCCACTAGCCCATGTTGATTTCAGGGAGTGTTACATCATCCCTTAACTCTTTTGGCACGTCGCCGAAGCTCCGGCGGCGCCAAGGAGACGCTGGGGGGGCGTCCTTCTGGCCGCTGGACTGGCGATGGGGTATTGGACCGGGAGAAGCATGGATCGGACTGCCCCCCATGGATCCCCACGGGTTGGTTTCAAGACGAAGAATTCTTCCTAGCTTGAGACAAGCCCCAGAGGGCTGGGAGATAGCACAAAGTAGATCTTGATAGATCTTGTGCATGTAGATGACCACTTGACTTGTCTTGTGAGAGACATAATGTAGATCCGCTTTCCCGAGACCTGTTTGGTCAACAGTTGCCGCGCTTATTTAGTTGTATACCGAAAGAATTGAGTCTTGAAGACTTAGATGGTGTTACAATAACACCTTTGAATATGTGACTTTGCAAGGTTGCCTGTCCGATGGTCCTTCTTAGGGCCTGGCCACCACCTTTTGTTTGATTTTCCAAGATTGGCCCGGAACCATGAAAGCCCATCCCATGCATCATCTTCGGATGCTGGGCCAGGCTTGCTTTTTTTTGCTGGACTTTGAGATCATCATACGATCATCCACCAAGAAACCAAGCATATATATATATATATACTATATATTAGACTATCGAGGTGTATCGAATTCATTATTGCAATCACTGAATCACTTTGTTGTGAACCTTTCTTGTGATCTAAAGCATCGATTTTGAGTTGGAGTCTTTTCTTTTTTTCTTCCTTGGACAGATATTCGATGAGGGACGTAGAACATGGGTGGAATGTGTGCGATAGATGATGTTGTTTGGTCAAGACTGTGCTGCTTGGTGAAAAGGCCATCCACTCAGGTGGATATGGCTCGAGAAAAGCACATGACCTGCAGGATGGGTGTCATGTGTTCTGTTCACCGGTGACTCATTCAGGGATACTCGGAATTCTTCGTCCCAAAGGGCCAGTAGCTTTGTCCCAAAGGCTTTTTCCCAAAGATCATCCCTTTGTTGTGCTGCTTCTCCGTGACCCCTTTCAGGTGTCCCTTTGGTCGTCCGCTCCCGTTTGGGCGCATGCCGGGGGTGTCACCCCGTTTGAAAAGTTCAGAAGGACATGTGAAACCAGGACCTCAGGAGCTGTGCCTCTGGATCAGTTTCTCCTGGGAAACGACCGGGCGTTGCCAGATGGTTGCAACACCGACGAAAGAACTGCGCAGACACTCCGCCCAGGTGGTGGCGATCCACGTGCCGGTGACCTGGGCCAAGGTTCACTTGATGGATCACACCCCACTCCAGGCGTCTTCTCGACGTCTCGGGGGAAGTGGAGAATGAGGCATTTGTCTGGTCTTGGAGGTCTTGGTATTTGGATGTATTTGGGGTTCTAAAAGAAAATTGAAAGCTGGTGGTGGAGTGGTGGAGGTCATAGGCTTATTACAGTTGGTTAGTTGATTTATCAAGGGGGGGACACCCCCGATAGGTAAAAGAACCCCTCCATTGTTCCAAGAAGGAGATCGCTGGTGGATGTGTTCAGTTGCCAATGCGGCTCACCTTTTGGTGGAGTTCCGTGGATACACTCGAATTCGATCGAAACTCACTGGTGACGCAACCAGAACCCAAATCGTACAATAATACCTCACTTACTATGTAAAGGTTCTCAATTGCCATATCATTTGTTTCTGGTTCTTTGGGGTTCCAGGCGGTTTCCATAGATCCATCGGTGTGCCCACTCTTGGACCACCAATCTCTCCACTCCCGCTGTCCGGTAGGTCTTCTCGGGCGCCGTTTTGGGAGCAATCTTGGGCTTTGGCCATTTCGCGCTGTTGCAGAGGCGGACGCCAGCGACGCGAGGTCGAGTTTTCTTGTTCCCGAGGGCGGACAGTTCTTGGCGAACTCCGGAAGAGAACCGGGAGCTTTGAGTTTGTTCATTCTTTGAACTCACATCACATGTTACATATCATACACATATATTCTTGTTTTTTCATTCCGAAAAATGGATGCAGTATTCAGTTGGGGGTCGAGATGTCAATCCCAGTTGATCATTTAAAGATATTCCCATGTGTGTTATCACCAGTCTTGCAGAGGATACATTCCCGACTCATCTGACCGTGTAATCCTGCTGGTCCTGCTGACACAGTGGTCACCGTAGCGACCTGCGGGTGCAACCACCGACCTCCCAACACCGAGCGGGTGGCAAGTCACGCCGACCAACCGTGCCAAAAAGCGACTCTTTCCGTCCCAAGATTGACTCAAGGAGTCCCAACACCGAGCACAAAGCAACGCCCCAAAAAAACGAAACGCCAAGGGGAACCCCCCTGGAAGCAGTCCTTGCTGTGCGTTGCTCCCAGCACCACGCAGTTCTGTTCGGTGGATGTACGCAGTTCTGTTCTCGTGCGGAGCGTGCCCTCGGATGGACAACCGGAGGTGGTCCGAAGCATCCATGATCACCCAGACCACCGGACCAGGTGCTACCCCCACCTGTCCTCTTCTGCCTGGTTGGTGGACAACTATGGAGCCAAGGCAAGGAGCAGCATTTGACGCAGTTGACCAGAAACAAATGGATGGAACTCCCCAGTCCCCGCCATTTTCAGTTGTCATATTGGAACCCGCATTTGTGTCCAGTTTGGACTGGGTTTCCAGGGTTCAGATTTGGAGTCGACTCATTTGGGGCCCTCAGGGTGTGGTGTCGGATGTGGTCCTTCTGAACATCGGTCTTGGTGCTGCGAGTCGGTAGCACCCGGACCTCGCGAAGGTGATCAAGACAAGTGGTCCCCAGTCTTACACTTATACATCTACCTCATCCATCGTGGAGGAAGATGAGGGAAGATGACTTAGGCCTCCAAGCTCGCGGGATGCTCTGGGTATATACCTTTTTGTTTGGACTTGACATGTAGAGAGAACTCTTGGTCCATCCATGTCACTGTGGTATTGACCAGGGCCATGTCATGTCGGTCCGCAGGGTCCGCATCTCAATTCATCGACTTCGGTCCGATGAAAGGCCGATGAATTGCCGCCTTTCAACGACAGGGGTCGAAGATCTCAGACAAATCGAGCAAACTGCAGATGTAGCAAACTGATGTAGCAAACTGGGCAAAGAAGGTCCGTTCTTCCGGCAATACCCGCAATGGCAATATCTGTATTGTATTGTATTGCATTGTTCGTTTCTGTCATCCATGCCAACCTCCAAATGTCATCTAACGCAACTGGGTTCGGGGCCACCTCAGAGTTATTAGCACAGTACGTGATTTTGCGTTGTGATCCTTTGTCTTGTTGCTCTCTGGGGTCGCTGCCTGCTGCCAATCTCGCTGCCAATCGTGAAGCAAGATGTCAGCACTGATGGCCTTCTGAAGGCCTTCTGAAGGCCTTCTTGTGGATCTGAAGGTCCCCGAGGGTCACTCCTTCTGTCTGTTGGATCCTCAGTCTCTGCTTGAGGCATCTGGGCCGGATGGCTACCGGTCGTTGAGCCCAGAGGGCTGAGGAAAACAACCACAGCGTTTCGGGCGCGAAGCAGGGACGTTTGGTGGGGGGTTACCCTCATTTTGAGAGACTTGGATGAGGCAAATATGGTTTAGAATGTAGACAATCCTTGAAGTAGTCATGGGTTAGTGAAGTTGATAACTTGTTGAGTGTTCGAAACATGGTCATCCTTTTTATGATTATATATTTCCAGAAAAGTTTGACTCACTTGATGCCCACACGATTCGCGCTGTCAGGACGTCCAATCACTGGGTGTCGGGTGTAGTATGGTGTATTCACTAATATGGAAATGGAACTTTGGGAAGACAATTTTCCTCTACAAGCAGGGTGGTTTCCACTTCCATGTTAGTGAGTCGGAGTGTAATAATATTATGCCATGAAACCCGCTTGCTTGCTCGATGGGGTGACCTATCCAAAAGGGCCCAAGAGCTGAGAAGAAAAGTGATGCGTCTGGGAAGGGTCACACTCATCGACAAGATGGACGAGTCAGAACCACCAGGGCAGGGTCGGGGTGTGTTGATGGAATTCATGGACAATGTCTTAGGTCTTAGCCTCGACACGGGGCAAAAAAGATAGACACAAAGCAGCCACGTGAAATCCCCCTGGGAGGTGTTTCTGCCGGTATGAGGTGGCCGCGATCCGCTGCCAGGGTCCAATCGGCAGCAAAGAATCGTTGGACTGTTCATGTAGGCACGACTTGGATTCCGAGTTGCTATTTTGTCACGCGTTCCTTTCAGCTGCCATTTTGGGATCTATTTCTTCCCAACTCCCTCAACAAAAACAATGTCATGTGCGCCCTGCTGCTGTGCTCAGACGTAGCTCAATGAAGGACCAGCAAGCAAGATCTGGAAGGTTAGCTCCGCAATCTTGACAGAACCCGACCCATATCAAGCTGGAATTATGCGCTCGTGCTGGTGTTTCTGGTTGAGGTGGCACTGTTTGCGCACAACTTCCGTGCAGTTGAAAGGGGTCCCCTGACACCCTGCGATCAAAAACCGAGAAGAACCTTGTTTGGATACATAGCAGCTCTCATTCGAGTGTCCTTTCCAACCGTTCGACGCGTCCGAATGGTCCGCTACATCCACGAAAGTTCGGTTGGCCGATCCGATTGGTCCCAAAAACCGTCCGAACTAACCGTCCTGTCAGGAACCGCGTAAACATGTGGGTAGGGTTCCTCAGTTCATCAGTTGAGGCTATCACTTAACCACGAGCTGGTTACCTTAACCACGAGTAGGTTACCTTAACCAGTTCAGTTGAGGCTTTAGTAGAACTTGTGACGCCCTCGTCGAACCGCACCACATCTCGTCGAAGAAAGTTCTACCCACTCGCGTGACGTCCCATGCTGCTGACAAAACCTGGGTTCCCAAGACCAGCCCGTCACGCCGTACCATCAACGGCCACTGCTTTCCCTCCAAATGGAGGGAACAACGAACACGTCAACAGCTCTCCAACGCATTTTGGGGGATGATGCCACGCGCTCCTGCCATGGGACGATGCCATGGGACCTTGCCATTGATCCGACCTGATCGCTGACCGGCCGGACGCCGCCCTGTCCGGCGGAGAGGGTCGTGAGACCGGTGTCACGTCAGGTGTCAGGAACTGAAGCACTGTGAACCTCGATGTCCTTTTTCAAAAGAAGCAGACGATCAAACTGAAGCACTGTGATCTGAAGCGGATTTGTTTGTGGGTGATTCTCGTGCCTTTCTGCAAGTCCTGGATCTCTGGGCTGACGGAAGCCCTGGTCGACATGAGGAGTTATATAGAATCAAACTCATTTATTCCACACGAAATTGGAATTGTGGTTTGGGGGTTCTGCCTATATTCCAATACGTGCTTCGTGTACAGGAAGATCGCTAACTGAGCACAGACCCGTGGTCGACTTGCAGGATGGTTGGGACTCATCGCTTAGAGACTAATTTAGGCCTATGGACGGTTAAGCTGAGTTCGCGTGTTTGGCATGTTTGGCTTCTGGAGTCGAGTTGGACTTGTCCAAGTTTCTTCTTTCTGGGACTCTGGGACCCCCCCAGTTCCGATGAAGACCTTGCAAGTTGTGCCCCCCCTCCAGCACGCCCAGTTCTTCCAAATCCCACCAGCGCAGGGGATGTCTGCACACCTGAGATCTGGTCAGACCATGTTCCTTGGCGCTTCCCAAACTGGAAGGCAGAGTTCCCGATGAGACTCTTGAGGTTTTGGGTACCATCAGTCAGATTCCCTGCGATATGAATGTTTTCTGAGAAACGAAAGGAATTGAGCACTTGGTTCTAAGCATCTTTGAAGAAGTTGCAGTACAGGTTTAGGATAGAAGAGATTAGAAGAGTATTTCCCTCTGTATACATCTACAAAAGTTACAGTGTTAGAGGCCTGCGTCCTGCGTGCTATTTTCTTTGAGCACACCGTGTGAACTCAGCAAAGGCTGTAGGTGAATCCCCTCCCTCCCGTATGTTTACCCTCCGCAGTTGGGGGCCGGCGAAAGGAACCAATTTGCAAATAAACCACTGGTTTTGGGGTTTATTTGTGGGGAAGAAGTGATCACAGGCTTTTGTTCAACACCAGAGGAAAGGCTGCTCTCAACATTGCTAAAAGGTGAGAAGAAACTTACCTGTGAAGTACTGTTGCCTTTTGTCAATAGAAAATGGACCATAATGGATCCCTGGTTCTCTTGCATTACACCTGGCGGGGCTGTGTTCATAGATGGCACACGTATCGGATTTGACAGTATTTGTTCTAAACCATCCACAAAGTGCAGCAATCTTGCACCATGTTGTACCAAACGCCTATAAACCCATGTATTGGGTGCAACGTGCACTTGCGAACCTTTTTCACCGTTTTTTTGCAAAAAACGAGTCGATCGACGGGGGTTGTGCCTCCGGGTACCTATTCAAAGAAGGAGCACTTCACATGGTTTTTGGATATTTTGGCTTGGGCAATCCTTGTTTCAGTATCAGTCCGCGGGATGCTGGTTCCACCTTCCGACTTTTCTCGACACGAATCGAGAGCGCTGGTGTTGGGGGACCCCAGCCACAATCTACGAGCTTGTACACCCTTGTTGTTCGCAAACCATTTTCTGATTTGATGAGACTGCGTAAAGCTGACTAGACCATGCAGTTATGCCTTTGTAACCAGACCGCTTCGCCTTTTCCTGGTTACAACTCCTGTTCCCCAACACCGTCCGTCGACCGGTTCGCATCGGTTTGGGCATCGCCAGGTGTCTCGCCCGACGCATTCACCGGACCCGATGGTCTGAGGACTGGCATGGTGAAGAGCTACAACCGCCGTGGCTTTGGCTTCATCATGTGCCAGGCCACTGCGAACAGCGGATTTTCCGCTGTGGGCCAGCGGCAAGCACCAGGTCTTCTGAAAGGCAGAAACGGTTATTTTTTCACCGAGGTTTCTGGGATCGCCGTCGAGGGATGCGTGCAAAAAAAACACAGAAGAAGGCTATGGGACATGATGACTATAGCACGCTGGTCGACCGCCAGCAATTTTTGGAGCAAGAACACGGGAAGAACCCACTGTCCCCATAAACCAACAAAGACCTGTCGTACAGATCAGCCAACATAAGCAAGCTGCTTCTGACCCCCAAAGCGGTCCCATCCCAAACTACGCCGGTTCCTTCTCCCTCCGGGCTCCGTCTGGTGGCGTCCTTCCCACCGGCCATGGACAGCGACGAGCTCCGCCGAGCAAGCTCGGCCGAGCGAAAGCGAGGCGATCGAACAGGACATCTACTTCTCACGGGAGAGTGGGGGGCCCTGGAGGGGCGAGCTCGGGTCGAAGGGAGTGCATTGGGTGGCTCAAATGAGTAGGGAGGAACCTCCCAGGCCTTCCGAACAAACAGACGCAATGCCGGAAGCAATGCAGCCTTTCAATCCCCTTCAATAATACTTCAATCATGCATGCTTTCATGCATGCTTTCAAGCCATGTTTCTCCGGTGATCAGGTCCAAAACTCACAAACATCCACATGGCGCCCCCGCCCGACCTCTTATTCCACTGTTTCTGAGCCCTCTCGGACCGTCCCGCTGTTTCCGACGGGGCGGAACCCGTGTCCCTGCGGTGGACCTCGAGAGCCTTCTGCGGCGTCTCTCTGAGCCTCCGCGGCGGTGCACCGACAGGTTTGCACCCCAACCTGCAGACGTCGGACCTCGCGGGCGAGCAGATCCAGCCGCTCGATGCGGAAGTTCAAAGGAAGTTCGGACGGGGAGAACTGCGCAGGTTGGGTGCGGTGGACAACGGCCCCCCATTGGTCAACTGGTCGGTCCATTTGGGTCAATTTTCCAGGTTGACCAATCGTTTTGGTGATTCTGTTTGGGATTCGGGCCCACACAAAGTCTGCTTGGTTGTCAGCGATGTTTCGCTGGGAGTGGTCGATTTCCTCTCCCCCTTGGTCCATTCTAAGAGTTGCTCGAGCTTGGAACAATTCTGCCGGGAATCATGCAGTTGAACTACATGGTCCACAGTGTGTAGATGGCCGTGGGGTTTTCTCATGAATTGGACAACTTCAAGACGTTGTAAACCTTTAGCCTGACTGTTCCTCACGTACCTGGGAATTTGTAGTGTTGAGACTGCAACCTGACTGGGGAGAGTGCAACCTGTGCGTTTCGCTGCAACGAGGAGCACATGTTACATCTTGTCAGGAACCCCCCGAAACTATACTTCGTTTTTCTACACCTCTGGGAACCGCATCAGGTATTCTCTTTTCTACAGGCCGTCCGGTTGCAGAGGAGCGGATATCTTCATTTGCAAGAACACCAAGGAAATCCTTGGACTCGTTTCATTCGTAACACCAACATGGGATGGATATGGATGGATACCTTATTCTATCTTATTCTCAAGGTCTTGCAGAAACCATGTTAATCTATGTTGATCTAGCACGGTTGATCTGTTGTTTTATACATCAACCGTTTACAAAGATATTGTGACTTGCCCGCCGCAGAAAGTCTGCAACCCACCATTGAAAAGAAAATGGAACCATTGTAAACACTTTATGAACATGAGGGTAAATAGTCGGCACACTCAAAAACCACGTAAAAATACACAATTAAACGTGATAGTAAATAGTGCTAACAGTCTCCCCAGTGGCCCTTTCAGGAAACAGCAAAGGAACGTACGCGAAGTACGCGAAAAAACAAAACAAACACACCGCGGCCATCTACGCACCGGGGTCCTTCTACGCACCGTGGTCCTACAGTAGTTCCTTTCCCCTTTTTTCCCTATCATCAGCAACTACTTCAGGGATAGATCTTTGCTTGGATACAGAGGCTTGACCCTGCTAGACTCAGAAGGTTCCTCGCCCAATGACAGCTGGTCATTCCCTTATTTTCTCCCGCCAACACATTGATCGCTATGTTGACACGTAAAGACGCTCATCATCCAAATCCAGAGTCGAAAGGGTTGGGGACGCTGCAGGATGACCCGACAGGCCAAGAACCATTTGACTCATTGACCGCCACGTGCCAACCCTTGCCTGGATGGTGGTCAATGAGCACAAACAACTGGTAGATAAGTATAAGGGACTCGCTTAAAGTGTCATACAGACATCATATTATATCCCTTTAGGCAACACACACACACAGATGATCCTTGCAAGCGGTGGTATAGACCCTCCAACGATTACAGGCCTGAGGTCGGAATTTTGCGACGTTCTGGGTGTTTTTCCATTCACCGGAAAGAAAAGACAGGTCTCCCAAGGTTGGCAGCTTCCCAACGTCCCAGTTCCAGTTCCCAGGTTCGAAATCCATCGCTTCTCGGACGGGAAGTTGCAGGCGCCCGAACTCGAAACACATGGCGAAGGGACCGGAGGTCCGGGTCAGTGGTCCCCGACAAGTTGTGAGATCCCCCCCCCAAGACAGCTGTGAAGATCCCAACTCCGTGAAGATCCCATGCATGGTTTTGGGATCTGAGGCATCCACTGGAAACCAGACTTCCGCCTGGAAACCGTTCCCCAGTGGTTCTTTTTCGTTCTCCCTCCCCTAAGGGTTCTCTTCTCGAAGAAAGCGCCAGCCACCAGCCGAAACAGGCACGGAATCTGCGCGCCTTGGGTGACGTCAGCGACTTCAAGGGTAGTTCCTACGGGGCAAACAGGCAGGACGAGAGTGAAAGGGATGGAAGGCCGCGGGGGAGGGGATGGAAGTCAATTGGTAACCACTTTCTGGGGTGGGGGTTGGAACAGCGCTGGGATGGAGATACATGTGGCTGGGTTGAGATCCGGATCAGAAAGGTAAAGGACTACACTAGCTGCTCACTAGCTACACTGCACAAGGGTATGCAGTCTCGATGCTTCTTGACAATTACATTTTAACCCTGGCCTCCCAGCTGCATCCTGGAACCTGTTGCTTTAAGCTGACAAGTTGGGAAATGCAGTTGCTTTACGCTACTGGCCCAAGATGCCCCTCACCCAGGATGCGACAGAGATGTATGTGTAGTCCTTCAAGTTTGGTGGAATTCTGAGGTACTCAGGATGAATTTGATGATCAATTGTGGCAAAACTGACCCAGAGTTTACTTGAGCGGGTCAGCCCCTTAGTGTAAGCTGGAGGGAGAGCAGAATGCTTCAAACCTGCCTGCTAGCCCCACCAATCACTGCACATTGACCTCCTTGGTGAACAGGTTTTCATCCCCAGTGCTTGATCCATCTTGGGCCCCAAGCATCACCGCGTGAAATCACGTCCCACGGTCTCCACAGGGACTACGGCGCTGGGGTGCGGGCGCAATTCTTCAACGCTCACCGCTCCACGGGATTGCAGGACGTGGAAATCCCCGGCGTTCGGCGGGAGCGGCGAGCTGAACGAAACGCGTTATACGAAAAACGCTGAACGCGTTCGGCGGCGGCTGGCGGGAATGGCACCGATGGAGCTGGAGAAAATCACATCCTGGCTACTTGCGTGCCAAGCAAACTGGACTTTGTTTACTGAAGAGGTTAGTTGCTAAGGCATCAACATATTCTGTTCTGCTCCTTCATCAGTTGACCCTTCCCATGTCGTTTGTTTTTTTCCTGTTCGATCCTTTTAACAGAGGATTAGTAAAATAATGACAAGGAAAAGAATAACAATGACATTCTTTTTACTATTCCTTGGATTTTTTTGTGGATGCTTCTCATGAAGTATCTTGTTTCTTTACTTTTTGTTATAAATGAGCGACTGGTATCTGATATATATATATAGTACAAAGATCAAAGACACCAAAAGAAGATACAGAAGGACATATATAGCCGATTCGGTCGCTTTCGATGTCACGTGAATTAGGTAGCGCTTGTGTATTGACCTCTCTCTCTCTCTCTCCCTCTCTCTCTCTCGCTCTCTGTTTCTCTCTCTTTCTTTCTCCCTCTCCCTCTCCCTCTCCCTCTCCCTCTCTTTCTTCTCGCTCTCGCTCGCTCGACTAGTGCTGAAAGGTGTACATCACAGTCATATAGATTGACAAAATATTCGAATCGACAGAAATCTCTTATCCCCAAATGTTGAAGGCGACTTCCTTCACTTAGCATGTTTTCGGGCTCAAGGTGGCTCGAATGGGGTGGCTCGGATTATTCGTCCATCTACGGTCGAGTGAAGCACAACCCGCCTTGGACCATCGCGTCATGGTCCGAGTGAAGACTTCAGGCTTGAGTGAAGCAACAAGCAAGCCTAAGTAAGGCCGTACACAAGTATGTTTAAGCCTAAGTTAAGCGGTACAGAAATATGTTTCGACCGATCTCCCATTCTCAAGTGCTTTTCTTTGTTTGGCCAGTAGCCGCCAGTAGCCTTGCTCGGTGCCCAGGACGAAGACCGAAGTAGAGATTGGTACTGCAAGAGCTGTCATTGGGCTCAGCTGGGTTAGGGGTGTGAGCGATTTCAAGAGAAAGATGTGCATATCATCACCTTGACAGGTATAGCTTTACATTTGTACACCAGCAAGGACACGGATTAACACACGAATGGCTTATCAATGAGCCTTCTAGATCTTTCTAATCGAAGCCTTTCACTACTGTTTCGTGACACATGACATCTATGTATGTATACATGTATGTATATATATACATATTTCAGGTGTGAATGCAATGTATTTTATCTTCCCAAAATGAATGGATGGTTGGGTAGGGACACTTTGGGATTTGAAACATACAGGGGTAACTCCTGATCTTGATGCCATTTTGGCTCAAGATCAGGGCAGGGTTTTGTTTTTCGCCATGCCTGTGATTCGCCGCACGTCGCTCACGGTGTGGCAACCGGGCGCGCGGCGGTGGCGGCGCGGGCACAGGGGGAGCAATCCCTGCGAGCTGTCGGTGGAAGACCGACGCGCTGATCTGGGGGCCAGGTCAGCCTACATCGTGTCGATTTGGGACACGATTGAGCGCAGGCCGGACGTGCAGGCCGACCATTGCCGCTGCTGTGGAGTATTTACAGCCTCCTGGTGCGAGGGCTGCTACTTCCGCCGGCCTGAGAGCTTCGGTGCGGTGTGCGCTGAGTGTGATCACCTGCACTTGGTCTGTGATCAGTGCAGGTTTGATCACATCTCTTGGGAGCAAGGCCATGCCGCGTACATCGAAGAAGGAGGCCAAGACACCGAGGACCAGGTCGAGATCACCGGGTGGGGTGACAGGGCCAATTCACCCCATTTCGAAGCTACCTCCAGCCAGGTCTCCATTGAGGAGGTCGCGCAGATCCTCGGAATCTCAGCCCAGCAGGCCAGAGACCTCATCAAAGAGCAGCTGTCCGGTACCTCCCAAGCAGCCTCCAGTGCCTCCACCGAGGCAGGCACTTCCTAGGCAGCCCATGCCCCCGCCTGGACCTCCTCCACTGAGGCTGAGGAGGCCGCGGTCGCCTTCTGTGTCGCCTGGGCGCGGCCGCATTCCGGTTGTGACTGTGCGCCAACCGGACCAGGCCATGGAGGCCGATTTGCTGGAGTTGGTTGCCGAGCGCTCTGATGAGTTGGTGCAGCTATTTTGCCACCAGGGCGTCCAGACCTGCCAGGACGTGGTTGGCATTTGTGACGGAGCTTGAGCACATCCAAGGCCCCCTGGACGCCGAAGAAGCATTCCAGGTTAGCGCCTTATGGACGCTTGCCGCTCGCCGGGCCCAAGATCACCACAGGCGCGTTGCCAGAGCGGTGATCGGGAACCGTGTTTCGGTCGTGGAGACCACGTCAATGGTGGTGGCGCCTCAAGGCACAGGTCCCAAGGGACACGTTCGTCAGCTGCTGGAGACTGGGTTCCCAGGGCGACCACCAATGCTACTTGCAGCCGTGGCAGCCGATCCCCACACCAAGGCTGAAGCCAAAAGGGCCACCAAAACTCAGGCCCTTTTTGACTTGTTGCTGAGCGATTTCCTCAACATCGCCGAGCTGGGGGTGACCTGGGAAGAGTTGAGTGATCCCGTACGACTGCAGCAGTTCAAGGACCAGATTATGCAGTCAACCGGACGCCTCACTGAGGCGAGGATTGGCGCCCTGCTGGCGGCTTTGCGGCGATGGCAGCGGTACGCCTCTGAGAAGGCTTTCGCCGTTGCCCAGCCAACACCGCTCCAGTTGGGCGAATTCTTTCGCGCCGTGGCCCAGGGCGGCCCTACAGCAGCATCCTCGATGTTTCAGGCCTTGAAGTGGTTCAGGGTTACCTTTGGCCTCAACTTCAATACAGATCACTGGCTTACCCAACCCTTCAGGCTGCTCCCACCTGATCATCGGGTACAACAGAGGACCGAACTACAGCCCTGGGAGCTGGTGAACCTGCTATTGATGATGAAGAAAGCATCAGGTACCCACTTGTTGATTTTGACATTTTTTGTCTGGGCAGCTATTTCGTGTGTACGCTTTGAACATTTTCAAAGGTCACATTACATTGAGAGCCACCCCCAGTGCCTGATCTTCGAGTGCTCCCAAGGCAAAGCTCGACGACGTGGAGCGCGACCTCCCTACTCGTGGGCTATGCCAGAATTGGAGTTCCAAGGGCTCAGCATCCACCGTATTGTGAGGGACTTCGTGACCATGGAGCTGAACCCCCCAGTTGAATTTCCTGTGGCCGGCCCTCCAACTCAGCTCGGATGATCTCTGGAAGGTCACCGAGGGCACGGCATGGTTGGTGAACAGGAAGATGTCGCGGGGTCGCTTCCTGGAACTCCTTCGCGGCGCGCTCATCACCATGCAGGTGGATCATGCCCAGGCCCGGGGAGCTGGCTACAATAGGCTGCGCCGGTTCCTGCCCACCATGGGCCTGGTGTGTGGCTTGCAGCCATCAAACCAGCAGGCCATTGGAAACTGGCAGGAGGTCCCCAGTGCCGGAGGCCCCGAACCAGTTCGTAAGAGCAAAGCAGTATGGTCAATGGGCCTTCACTATGCTGGACAGAAGGTGTTGCACTCCGCAGCAGTCAAGAGGGCGTTGATTCAGAGGTTCCTCCACCTACTTCGGCGCAAGCTCCAATGCAGATGGTCTCGTGGCCCGTGATGCCTGGACCTGGCCAGAGTTGGCCCAGATGAACGAGAGCTTTGGACCGTTGGAGGCAGCATTGATGACGCCTGAGGTCCAGCCCCCATCGGAGACACCGCCCTTGGAAGCCTCGGGGAGTGCCTTGCCTGTGGCAGGCCCAGCAGACGAGGTTAAGACTGAGGAGGTAGACAACGTCACACCCCCGGTGGTGGAAGCTGATCCGGCGGCCCAGTCGGTTTCTTCGTCTACTACCTCCTCGTCCGCGTCGGACTGTTCGGCTATGGGCAGCGACTTGGAGGGTGTCCTGGCAGAGGAGGCGGCTATCACAGAAGCCAAGTGGTTCGTCCAAAGCCGTCGAGTTCACATTGTCAGTGGCGTGGTCGATGAGCGCCAGCTGCCGTATTGCCGGGATTCACCTTTCGCCCAAGACCCCAAGAGCCAGGGCGAGGGCTTCGGATTGGTTGTTCGGAGCCAGTTTTGCCAGCGATGCCTAGCACGCATGCCACGAGGCCTCTATGCCTCCCTGGCTGACCAGTGCGGATGGTTGCACTGAGTGTATAAAAAGCCGAGGGGCCAGAGCCCTGTGGGGGTGCTGGGTCGGGGTCGACGTGCGTCTAGGTGGGGTTCGGTTTTGACTTGGTCACCGACCGTTCCGACGTCGTTTGTTCCCAGTAGGTCGTTTTCGGTTGGGTCCCCTACCCCCTTTTTCTTTCCCTTCTTGGGGTTGGCTTGAAGGGGGGCACCTTCGGTCTGTGACTTGGCTTGGCCTCTCCGTGGATGCCACCGGAATGGGGAGGGCGTCGGGGCGTGGTCATTCGTTCGGACGGGCAGGGTGGTAGGTCCGCGACCTCCCCCTGGGAGTTTGCTTTGTCGCAACCCAGCTCCGGGCTCACAGGGATCGTAGCTAGTTCACTCAAGCTTTCGTTTGTGGTGCCCCTACGACCATGAGCAGTTCAAGGCGCATTGATACGTATCAGGATGACCGTGGATTGACAACCTGCTTCGCTGGGGCCAACATCCTGGAGGAGTGGAAGAGTGAGCTAGTCCACATCCACAAGTGGGAAACCTTGGAAGATTTTGTCTACTACTTCAATGAGTCTTCCATGGAAACATCATTGGATCAGGTACTCCAGCCCACCAAGATGAAGGACAACAGGTTGTTGCGGGCGCGGCTTAAAGCAGCCCATGCAGCTGGCCTGGAGGCCATTCGTGCAGCCGCTGCAGAAGCAAAACAGCCAGAGGCGGTTGATGAGACACTCCCCGAATCGACAATGCAACAACTTCACAAGGACTTTGCCACCAAGTATGGCGTGGTGTTGGATGCGTTCTTGGAACCATCAGACGCCCTTCGGTCCCGTGTCTATAGGGAATTCCGCAAGAGGACGATGTCGGTCATCAGTGTGGCAAAGGTCCGATCTATCCTCCACCAGTCGGCGCCCAAGCAACAAGAATCAGTCCGCCTGGGTGCGGGCGTTCAGCTTGAGTTCGCAGCCGACGACCATCGTATCGTTCGCGCCGTGGTGGAGTACTACTTTTCACTACGCACTTTGGCCTATGCCTGGGCGTGGGGAGGTTTGTACAAGGTGTCAGACTTCGATGGTAATGAGAAGGTCTTCATGCCCCTTACCCCAGCTATGTCATATGCAGATCAAGCCCTGCAATTCACCATGGAGTTCGGGCAGGGCAGCCTGCTGTGGTTGGAGAGGAATGACATCAACACACGCTCCAAGATGGCTTCCCTCATCCGCCGTGGCTACACAGGGGCATCTGCACTGGAGGAGGCATTACGCCAAACCCATATTGACTGGCGCGCCCCAGGGGTCCAGCCAACCTTGCCTGAGGCAGGTTCCTCCCCAAAACGTCGCTTGACGGAGAGCGACCAGCCACAGGAGAAGGGTCCTGCCAAGGAGCGGCGCATGGTCAAGACGGATTAATGGCCCACTATCTCTATGTTGAAAGGGGGCCAGAAGATTTGCAAGCCATTCAATGATGGGCGTGGTTGCACCAAGGCGGGCTGCAAAGATCTTCATCAGTGCGATGTCAAGCTGAGCTCAGGGAAAGCCTGCCTGGCCAGCCACACCCGGCTTCAGCATGAATAGGGACAGCGCCCCCCGAGGGTCGGGGAACCCCGGGGGGGCCCAGGCGAGGTGGCCTTGAATGACCAACTTCAGGCTAGTTCGGCATCTTCTGAGGCCCACCGCTGCGTTCTCCTACGACCTGAAGGCCACAGTGGCCACACCCCGATGGCTGACCGCCTGTACGCAGCAAAACCTATCACTTGGCGGGGCCAAGGGGATTTGCCTCAGTTCCCGTGGGCAAAACCTTTCAAAGGTACATGGTTGGTCCTGGACCTCTGGTCGGGTATTGGCGGGTTATTGGTAGCTTTATCAGCAATGGGAGTCCACTTCTATGCGGTAGCCGCTGAGATGGATGAGGAAGCGGCCCATTGCACTCAAGCCGTCATGCCCCAAGTTGTCCCTGTCAGGCGAGTAGAGGATTTGCGTGCCGTGGACTTCATCCCTATGCTGGTCCGCCGTTCCTTTCGGGGGGTCCTCCTGGGAGGGGGCTCCCCGTGTCAAGGCAATTCAGCCCTGAACCGACGCCGCAAGGGGCTTGCTGACACACGGTCACAGCAACCGCCGCTTGAGCTTCAACGGCTGGTGTCCGAATTTGAGCAGCTGCCGGCTTGTCAGGGCATGGAGATTGTTGCCTTCCTCGAGAATGTCGCCAGTATGCCTAAACAGGTTCAACAGGCCTATGAGACCTGGCTGGCGGGACCGCCCATCCTGCTAGACGCCAGTTCATGTGGCTGGGTGTCGCGTCGCCGGTTTTTCTGGCTTCGATCGCGAAGAGGTGTGGTTGGCCCTGACCACCCACCTCCGGAGTCGTGGCAATGGCGCACATCTACTTCTGGAGTGGCCGAACTGCGGTGTGTGGGGAAGAAGCCTCTACCACCGCAGGTTTATTGGGACGACCACTTCATGCCCCTGCTCTCCCCTCAGGTGGTCTTGCAGCAAGCTGGCAAGGGTGCGATGCATACATTCACTCGTGAATTTTACCACCCAGAGGACCGGGTCCCCGAAGTGAGTCCTGAGGCAGCTGAACGTTTCTATGCTGATCAGCGCCGCTTTCCCCCGGGGGCGTATGAGGAGAATTCACTCCTTTGGCATGGGCAGCAGTGGCGCCAACCGTCGCCTGCTGAGCGCTGCCAGTTGATGTGCTTGCCGCCAGCACTGGTAGCACCTGCTCGGGGCAACCAAGTGAAGCGTACCCAGGTCCAGAATTCCTTCATTGGTAATGGCTTCCATATTCCTTGTGTGGTGGCGTTGTTGGCTATGCTACCTAGTATTTTGGAGGCAAAGTTTGTGCCATCCTTCACCTCAGTCGAGGAAGCAGCATTGGGGGCCAGGTTGCGGCATACGGTCTGGGAACCAGGCCGCCTGGAAGTCATGCCAGGTGTGTTGACCGCTACTGAGGTGTGCCAGGACCTGCGGCTCCACTTCGCTTTTGCCGACATCCCAGAGCGGACTTGGCAGCAGGTCCTTGCCCGGTTGCAGGCCTGTGATCTGGCGAGTCTGCAAGCTTATCCTATGTGGAGGCGGCTCCGGCAAGAGCCTTGGGAAGTGTTGGGACCAGTCCCTATTTGGGGGCGTATGCGGACAGCTATTTTCGCTGGGCTCACAGGACAACGCTACCCAAGCTCCTCGGCCAAAGGACTGGATCATCTTTTGCCCCCGGGGTTGGGCAAGGATGAACATGTGCAGCAGGCTATGCAACTCCCGTCGCCTTTCCATCCTCATGATTGGCCTGAACCTGACGTCTCATTTGTGGTCCAGGCACTGGGTGTCTGGCAGCAGTTTCTCCCAGTTTACAGCCAAAGGCTGCGGCGTACTCTGAAGGCTGTGGAAAAAGCTGTGCAGATCCTGAACCCGTGTCTTGCGGCGGTAAGGTGTACTAGTGCCAACAAAGTAGCGCATGCTAAAAAGCCTGCTTTTGTTGCAACCATGGCATGCCTCCTGCGGTGGCCGGACCGTGATATGGCCCGCCAACTTGTCCAGGGGTTCGCTATTGTTGGGTCCCTTCCGCCGTCTGGGGTGTTCCGAGGTATCCAACAAGCTGCTAAACTCCCTTTGGCTGATTGGCTGGGTCCATCCGCCGAAGAGGAGGTACAGCGGTTGATCCGTAGCCGACCCCCCCTGCACGCCCCGGAAATTTTGGCCGTTACTCAAGATGAGATCATTAAGGGTTTTTGCAGCCCACTACGAACTATGCAGGAAATGAATGATCAATTTGGCGTTGGCGGCTGGCGCGCAGTGGAGCGCTTTCTTATTATTCAGCCTGATGGAAAACAGAGGGTCATTGATAATGCCCGCAAGAGTGGCCATAACATGCATACCTCCATGCAGGAGACCATTTCGACCGTTAACGTTGATTTTGTTGCCTCCGTTGCTCGCATGGTCAATACCACCTTGGAGACCCTTTGGTCCGACCCTCCCGATTGGCTAGACTTGAGATTGGGCACAGATGATTTGCCTGATGCCTATCGAGGCTTGCCAGTCCAAGATGACCATTTGCGGTTCTCCAACGTGGCCATTTTCGTCCCTGACGAAGGCTGGCGGTTTACAACCATGTACGGGCTGGCCTACGGACTAGAGAGTGCAGTTGTCAGCTTCAACCGATTTCCCCAGTTGGGTATCGCGATTGCCAGACGCTGTACCCTGTCCCTTTGTGCTGCTTACTTTGATGATGAACTTGCGGTTGATTTTGTTCACCATGCGGATGTCTCGCAGCGCGGACTCCAACTTGTCTTTCAACTTATGGGAGCACCACCGCAAGCGTCCAAATCTTTTGCCCCTGGGCGGAACCGCCACTACCTGGGTACATCTGTACATGTTGGAGATTTTGTTTCTTTGGGATCGATTCGGTTCCAACCCAAGTTCACCACCCAGAGAAAGGTATTAGCTAAACTTCACCTTGCTCTAGCTACCAACAGTCTGTCTCCAGACGACGCTGGCAAGCTCAGAGGTGATCTCAACTGGATGTTCAGCATGTGCGCAGGCCAAGCAGGTAGGATCGCTGGACCTACGCTTACTGCTCTACAGCATGCTGACTCACCTAGTCTCTCCCCTGAGGATGGTGTTACCCTCCGGCTATTGGTCGCGTTGGTCACTTGCCCAGGGCCTCGAGATGTTGCTGTCAGGGCGTCCCCGCGTCAACCAATCCTTGTTTACTCGGATGCGTCCTTCGAACATGGGGTCCTTCGAGTTGGCTGGGTTGTCTTTGGCCATTCCCCTCGCCCGCAAGGGGTGACCTGTGTTGTCCCCCAGGCGGTGATTCAGTCCTGGACTGCCCGTACGCAACAAATTTATCCAGGTGAAACTCTTTGTGGACTCTTAGTACCTTGGTTTCATGGAGCCACCTTGCGACACCAGGATATCTTGTGGTTTATCGATAATGAAGCTGTGGCTTCACTCATCCGTGGCTCCAGCTCCCAGATCGATGTCCATACCCTAGTTCAGGTGGCCCATTTCTTATTTCAACGATTTCAAATTCGTGTTTGGATCGAGCGGATAGACTCTGAGAGTAACCCCTCTGATGGCCTTTCACGAGATGGAGTTTGTGATTCTTGGACAAGATCACAACCCTGGGATGTGTCAGAGGTTAGCTACCCGGAACCCCTCCGGTCCGTGTGTCACCCTGCACATCTTTCCCGCTTTTTAGAGTACATGGACAGTGGGTGATGCGAATACAGTGGGTGGTATGTTAAGTTCATCTATGATGACTTTCCAAGCTGGTCCGT